CCGTGTTGCAACTCTGTGTAGCTCCCCCTTCGATACACACACGTTCACCCACACAAACACTCTCTTTCACACACACACTTCAACTCTCTCTCTCTCTCTCTCTCTCTCTCTCTCTCTCTCTCTCTCTCTCTCACACGTTCACCCACACACAAACACTCTCTCTCTCTCTCTCACTCACACACACGTTCACCCACACAAACACTCTTTCACACACACACTTCAACTCTCTCTCTCTCTCTCTCACACACACACGTTCACCCACACACAAACACACTCTCTCTCTCTCTCTCTCTCACACACACACACACACACTTCAACTCTCTCTCTCTCACACACACACACACGTTCACCCACACAAACTCTCTCTCTCTCTCTGTCTCTCTCTCTCTCTCACACACACACACACACAGACGCAAGAGAACACACACATAGAGACGCAGGCACGTACGAGCAGACACCACAGCAGGAATGGATAACTGTCTCCCCCTTCTCCCGATAAATTTCAACGAAAATTTTAGAAAAGGACTCAGAAGCATAGCTGAGAAGAGTAAGACGTACCTTGCCCATCTTCTTTGAAGACGAGCTCTCTCTTCTCGTCATTCTCGTTCTTTCCCCTTCTCCTATTTTTTCCTCCCTTTCCTGCACAACAGATCTCCAAATCATTAGAGCACACAGAGATCACGTCCCGCCATCAGGTGCGACTCTGTCTTTCCCCTCATCCTCACTCCTTGGTCCTTTCGGCAGCTTCCAAAATTTTTGCCGACCACAACGCCTTATATCCATCCACAGGGCGCAGCTGACTGCTCACCCCAATAGTCCACGCAATCACTCCCCATCACTTACGAACGGATGTCCGCAAGAAGAGAGCAAGAATTATTTATTTAAAAAAAATAGAATCCCACTAGTTTCAATTCCCCCTTTTCCCACACCCTCCGCCTTCACTCCCACGGATCATTCCCACATCCATTTCAGTAAAGCCAGAAGAGCGTGTCTTTTTGCGTCACGCGGATTAAACAAACCGTCCATTCATCCACATTCTACCATCCTGTCGTTGCTTTATTACAGTAAGAAAGAAAGATAATTAAAATTACTATTAATTCTAACAATTCCGATTTTCATTATTATTACTATTATTACAATTATTATTATTATTATTATTACAATTATACAATTAAGCTCACAAGAGCATCTCTCTTCCGTCGACCTGGAGGCCACGTATACTACTGGAAGTCACATAGTAACAATACATGATTATTATAATCCACCGTGAGATCTCGTATCTGTGACAGACCTTTTCTTGTTTCGTGGGGCCTAGGGCCTAGTTGCATCACTCCGCACCCGCCAACATTTCAAATGCATTAGGACAAATTTTAGGTCCAGATTCATTCAAAACGTTGGCGGATGGCGAGTGGTGCAACTCGGCCCTTCTCATGGAGTGTGAACTTGGGACTGAAAAGTCTCCCGTCTTGTCTGGGCGATAGTCTGCTTTATATATGTGGCGGCTGTGACAGACTGTTTCCTCCCAGTTTCACCTGTAGTACTCGTCAACAGGTTGAAGCCCATATGTATATGCATATATATTGTGCATTTATATACATATACGTAAGCATACATGACACACATATATTGTAATAACACAGTGAATCGGAGCGCAAAGGCGGAAAAAGACAACAAAAAGAAGGAAAGTCCCGCCTGTTCAGATACACGTCATGGGGTGTGAAATGACAGTCGACAGTCTGTAGAGTTAAACATCTGGTGTGGGTGAGTGATGGTCTGCTTTGAATTTCGTCACAGTTACCTTGAGGGCTCTTCTCCCTCTCTGCCTACGGTTTACCGGGCAGCTCTATTTGATATACATATATATACATTTATATACATATATACGATATATATATCATATATATGAACATATATATCATATGCGCATATATATACATACATATAAACATATATATCATATGCACATATATATACATACATATACATACATATATATCATATATATCATATATATAAATA